AAGACCGCCCCTTGCCGCTCTAAGACCGCCCCTTGCCGCTCTAAAACCGCCCCTTGCCGCGCTAGGACCACCCCACGCCGCTCTATGAGTGCACCTTGCCGCTCTAGCACCGCACCTTGCCGCTCTAGCACCGCACCTTGCCGCTCTAAGACCGCCCCTTGCCGCTCTAGAACCGCCCCTTGCCGCTCTAGGACCGCCACTTGCCGCTCTATCACGGCCCCTTGCCGCTCTAGGACCGCCGCTTGCCGCTCTTGGACCGCCCCTTGCCGCTCTAAGACCGCCCCTTGCCGCTCTAGGACCGCCCCTTGCCGTTCTAGGACCGCCCCTTGCCACTCTAGGACCGCCCCTTGCCGTTCTAGGACTGCCCCCTGCCGCTCTACCACTCCCCATTGCGGCTCTAGTACCGCCCCTTGCTGCTCTAGGACCGCTCCTTGCCACTCTAGGGCCGCCCCTTGCCGCTCTAGGACAGCCCCTTGGCGCTCTAGGACCGCCCCTTGCTGCGCTAGGACCGCCCCTTGCCGCTCTAGGATCGCCCCTTGCCGCTCTAGGACCGCCCATTGCCACTCCAGGACCGCACCTTGCCGCTCTAGGACAGCCCCTTGCCGCTCTAAGACCGCCCCTTGCCGCTCTAGGACTGCCCCTTGCCGCTCTAGGACCGCCCCTTGCCGCTCTAAGACCGCCCCTTGCCGCTCTAGGACCGCCCTTTGCCGCTCTAGGACCGCCCCTTGCTGCTCTAGTACTGCACCTCGCCGCTCTAGGACCGCACCTTGCCGCTCTAGGACCACGGCTTGCCGCTCTAGGACCGCCCCTTGCTGCTCTATGACCGCACCTTGCCGCTCTAGCACCGCACCTTGCCGCGCTAGAACCGCACCTTGTCGCTCTAAGACCGCCCTTTGCTGGTCTCGGACGGGCCCATGCCGCTCGATGACTGCCCCGTGTTGTTCTAGGACCGCCCCTTGTTGCTCTAAGACCGCCCCCTGCCGATTTAGGACCGCAAGTTCGCCAACTACACAAGTGCCGCAACTACGCAAGTCCGCCAACTCCGCAAGTCCGCTAACTACGCAAGTACGCCAACTACCCAAGTTGGCCAACTACGCATGTCCGCCAACTACGCAAGTCTGCCAACTACACAAGTCCTCCAATACCCAAGTCCGCCCACTACTCAAGTCCGCCAACTTCCCAAGTCCGCCAACCACCCAACTCCGCCAACTACCCAAGTCCGCCAACTTCCCAAGTCCTCCCACTACTCAAGTTCGCCAAATACCCAAGTCCCCCAACTACCCAAGTCCGCCAACTACCCATGTCCGCCAACTTCCCAAGTCCGCCAACTTGCCAAGTCCGCCGACTACTCAAGTCCGCCAACTTTCCAAGTCCGCCAACTTCCCAAGTCCGCCAACTTCCCAAGTACGCAAACTACCCTTACCACACTAGAACCCCCACCCTGCCGCTCTAGGAATGCTTCCCTGCTCCCCTGCGTTTCTAGGACCGACCCTTGCTGCTCTAGGACCGCCCCTTGCCGCTCTAGGACCACCCCTTGCCGCTCTGGGACCGCCCCTTGCCGCTCTAGGACCGCCACTTGCCGCTCTATGATGGCCCCTTTCCCCTCTAGGACCGCCCCTTGCTGCTCTAGGACCGCCCCTTGCCGCTCTAGGGCCGGCCCTTGCCGCTCTAGGACCGCCCCTTCCCGCTCTAGGACCGCCCCTTGCCGCTCTAGGACTGCCCCTTGCCGCTCTAGGACCGCCCCTTGCCGCACTACGACCGCCCCTTGCCGCTCTAGGACCGCCCCTTGCCGCTCTAGGACCGCCCCTTGCCGCTCTAGGACAGCCCCATTGCCACTCTAGGACCGCCCCTTCCGCTCTAGGACCGCCCCTTGCCGCTCTAGTACAGCCCCTTGCCGCTCTAAGACCGCCCCTTGCCGCTCTAGGACCTCCCCTTGCCGCTCTAGGACCGCCCCTTGCCGCTCTAGGACCGCCCCTTGCCGCTCTAGGTCCGCCCCTTGCCGCTCTAGGACCGCCCTTGCCGCTCTAGGACCGCCCCTTGCCGCTCTAGGACCGCCCCTTGCCGCTCTAGGAACGCCCCTTGCTGTCTAGGAACGCCCCTTGCCGCTCTAGGACCGCCCCTTGCCGCTCTAGGACCGCCCTTTGCCGCTCTAGGACCGCACCTTGCCTCTCTAGGACCGCCCCTTGCCACTCTAGGACCGTCCCTTACCGCTCTAGGACCACCCCTTGCCACTCTAGGACCGCCCCTTGCCGCTCTAGGACCGCCCCTTGCCGCTCTAGGACCGCCCATTGACGCTCTAGGACCGCACCTTGCCACTCTAAGACTGCCCCTTGCCGCTCTAAGACCGCCCCTTGCTGCTCTAGGACCGCCCCTTGCCGCTCTAGGACCGCCCCTTGCTGCTCTAGGACCGCCCCTTGCCGCTCTAGGACAGCCCATTGCCACTCTAGGACCGCCCCTTCCGCTCTAGGACCGCCCCTTGCCGCTCTAGTACAGCCCCTTGCCGCTCTAAGACCGCTCCTTGCCGCTCTAGGACCTCCCCTTGCCGCTCTAGGACCGCCCCTTGCCGCTCTAGGACTGCCCCTTGCCGCTCTAGGACCGCCCTTTGCCGCTCTAGGACCGCACCTTGCCGCTCTAGGACCGCCCCTTGCCGCTATAGGATCGTCCCTTACCGCTCTAGGACCGCCCCTTGCCGCTTTAGGACTGCCCCTTGCCGGTCTAGGACCGCCCCTTGCCACTCTAGGACCGCCCCTTGCCGCTCTAGGACCGCCCCTTGCCGCTCTAGGACCGCCCATTGACGCTCTAGGACCGCACCTTGCCGCTCTAAGACTGCCCCTTGCCGCTCTAAGACCGCCCCTTGCTGCTCTAGGACCGCCCCTTGCCGCTCTAGGACCGCCCCTTGCCGCTCTAGGACCGCCCCTTGCTGCTCTAGGACCGCCCCTTGGCGCTCTAGGACCGCCCATTGCCGCTCTAGGACCGCACCTTGCCCCTCTAAGACTGCCCCTTGTCGCTCTAAGACCGCCCCTTCCCGCTCTAGGACCGCCCCTTGCCGCTCTAGGACCGCCCTTTGCTGCTCTAGGACCGCCCCTTGCCGCTCTAGGATCGCCCCTTGCCGCTCTAGGACCGCCCCTTGCCGCTCTAGGACTGCCCCTTGCCGCTCTAGGACCGCCCCTTGCCGCTCTAGGACAGCCCCTTGCCGCTCTAGGACTGCCCCTTGCCGCTCTAGGACCGCCCCTTGCCGCTCTAGGACTGCCCCTTGCCGCTCTAGGACCGCCCCTTGCCGCTCTAGGACCGCCCTTGCCGCTCTAGGACCGCCCGTTGCCGCTCTAGGACCGCCCCTTGCCTCTCTAGGACCGCCCCTTGCCGCTCTTAGGACCGCCCCTTGTCGCTCTAGGACCGCCGCTTGCCGCTCTAGGACCTCCTCTTGCCGCTCTATGACGGCTCCTTGCTGCTCTAGGACCGCCCCTTGCTGCTCTAGGACCGCCTGTTGCCGCTCTAGGACCGCCCCTTGCCGCTCTATGACAGCCCGTTGCTGCTCTAGGACCGCCCCTTGCTGCTCTAGGACCGCCCCTTGCCGCTCTACGACCGCTTCTGCCGCTCTAGAACCCCCCCTGCCGCTCTGGGACTGCTCCCCTGCCTTTCTAGGACCGCCCCCTGCCCCTCTAGGGTCGCCCCCTGCCCCTCTAGGATGTCCCCCTGCCCCTCTAGGGTCGCCCCCTGCCGCAGATTGCAAGTCAGTAAGCCGTTGTATTGTCAAAATGCAAGGGTTAAGATCGGCTAATAGCAGCACTCACACGTCCATGTCTCTCCCCCTTACCACTCACACGTCCCCCACCCCGTCACCACTCACACGTCCCCTCCCCCTCACCACTCACACGTCCCCCTCCCCCTCTCCACTCACACGTCCCCCTCCCCCTCTCCACTCACACGTCCCCCTCCCCTCTCCACTCACACGTCCCCCCTCCCCCTCTCCACTCACACGTCCCCCCTTCCCCCTCTCCACTCACACGTCCCCCTCCCCTCTCCACTCACACGTCCCCCTCCCCCTCTCCCTCCCCCCCTCCCCTCTCCACCTCACACGTCCCCTCCCCCTCTCCACTCACACGTCCCCCTCCCCCTTCCACTCACACGTCCCCCTCCCCCTCACCACTCACACGTCCCCTCCCCCTCACCACTCACACGTCCCCCTCCCCCCTCTCCACTCACACGTCCCCTCCCCCTCTCCACTCACACGTCCCCCTCCCCCTCTCCACTCACACGTCCCCCTCCCCCCTCTCCACTCACAGTCCCCCTCCCCCTCTCCACTCACACGTCCCCCTCCCCCTCTCCACTCACACGTCCCCTCCTCTCCTCACTCTCCCTCCATCAACGTCCCCTCCCCCTCTCCACCTCACACGTCCCCCTCCCCCTCTCCCACTCACACGTCCCCCTCCCCCTCTCCACTCACACGTCCCCCTCCCCTCTCCACTCACACGTCCCCTCCCCTCTCCCCCTCCTCTCCCTCACCACGTCCCCCTCCCCCCCTCCACTCACACGTCCCCCTCCCCCTCTCCACTCACACGTCCCCTCCCCTCACCACTCACACGTCCCCCTCCCCTCTCCACTCACACGTCCCCCCCTCCTCCCCCTCTCACCACTCACACGTCCCCCTCCCCTCCCACTCACACGTCCCCCTCCCCCTCCACTCACACGTCCCCCCCCCTCTCCACTCACACGTCCCCTCCCCCTCTCCACTCACACGTCCCCCTCCCCCTCTCCACTCACACGTCCCCTCCCCTCTCCACTCCCCCCCCCCCCTCCCACTCACACGTCCCCCCCCCTCTCCACTCACACGTCCCCCTCCCCCTCTCCACTCACACGTCCCCCTCCCCCTCTCCACTCACACGTCCCCCTCCCCTCCCCCTCACCACTCACACGTCCCCTCCCCCTCACGTCTCTCCATCCCCCTCAATCCCTCCCTGTCCTGTGCCCCTGTGCCCCTCCACCCCACATCCCCTACCCCACACCGCCCACCCCACACCCCCCACGCCACGCCACAACCCGAACTCCCAAACCGCTCCCCTTCTCCCCCCCTTTCCCCAGCACTACAAGCTGGAGGCGGGGCTGACGGGCGATGATGCGTATGTGGTGAGCGGGTCGGAGGACGGGCGCGTGGTGGCGTGGGACCTGGTGGAGGGCGCGGTGGCGGGTCAGCACAGTGCGCACAAGGGTGCCGTCACGGGGCTCGCCTTCCACCCCGACGACAAGCACATGCTCACATGCTCCGCTGATGGCTCCGTGCGCCTCTGGGACGTGCACCATTGACCAGCTTTGACCAAGGTTGACCAGTGTTGACCGATGCCTTGAAATGTTGATAGCTGTAGAGATTCAGTGAAGTAGGCGCCGGTGACAGGGCGGAATAAGTCAGGGAGTTGGGTGGGCTGGGTGGCAACATGGACATCCATGCAAGACGAATAATATTTGGGTTTCTTGCAATGTGTCATACCTGCTGCACATAGCTATGGTCATGCCAGCCAGGCTAGGCAGTTTTCAGGGCATGGTTATGCCATAATGCCAGGAGCTGTTGAGCATGAAAACACTGACTCGGCTCAAGATGTGAGCTGCTGTGACCAGCACAGAGTTCAGGGCTCCTCAGGAACGTGTTGTGTCTAAGCAAACCTTCCGCACCATATGTCCCATACGTCTGCACAACAATGACGAAGTGTTTTCACTGGTGAGGTGATCCTATCCTAACGTGTGTGTTAAGTATCATGGCTACAGCTATGCACCCACCCATGCATGGACGGACATGCAATAAACATACCGCATGCTACTCAGCTCTCCATTTCCTCCCCCTCTTCCCCTTCCCCCCCCTCCTCCCCCTCCTCCTCCCCCTCCTCCTCCTCCTCCTCCTCCTCCTCCTCCTCCTCCTCCCCCCTCTCTGCCTCGTCCAGTGCGCGCAGGAGAGCTGTCCTTCTCTCCCGCAGGTTCACTGCTGCTGCTGCTATGCAGTCCTGCTCGTCATGGTCACATGTGCATTGTTGGGGGGAAGGGGAGGGGAGGGGAGGGGAGGGGAGGGGAGGTGGGAAGAGGAGAAACGTGGGTGGTGAGCATTTGAGAACGAGGGCTTTCCAGAGGGGTGGAGTTAACACGAAACCCCAGTGCTACATGAGAAATGGTCAGCGGTGTAACAGCCTCACACACACCCAGGCATCTGTGCATACAATCTGCGTCCACACAAGCAGCCACCACCCGCCATCCAACGCACCTGCATGCCTGCTCCTGTTAATCTCGCTGACCCTCCCGCCTTAAACACCAATACCAGCTCCTCTCCCCCTTCTTCCCCTCCCCCCCCTTTCCCCCCTCCCTTCCCGCTCCCTCCTTTCCGCCGCTCCTTCCCCTCCCCTCCCTTCTCCTCCTCCCCCATCCCCTTCCCCGGCCCTTCTCCCCCCCTGGCCCGTGCCATCATATCCATCGCTATAATCACATTGTTACTGCCACTCCCCAGCCTCTCCTCTTCAGCTGTGGGGTCCACCAGCAGGTGTCCCCCGTACATGCACACTGTCTGCGCCAGCGGCAGTGCCTGCAGCTCCAGCCTCTTCCCCTCCACCGTCTGCTCCACCACCAGCCCATCCCCCTCTTTCTCCACACCCCCCCCTCTCTCCGCACCTGCGTCCCCCTCTCCTCTGCCCCCGCCCCTCTGCCCCTCCCCATCTTCTCCCTCCCCACCATCCCTGCCTCCTCCCCTGCCGTCCCCCCCCCCCACCTCGCCGTGTGCGCCATCCGCGTGGGCGTCCTGCTGTGCGTGCAGGAAGACCTTGCCGTTTGCCACCACGTCCACCGTGGGGAGGGTCACTGGGGGGAGGGAAGGGGGGGGGGGGGGGAGGGGAGGGAGGAGGGCATGGGTTGAGGCATGGGGAGACGCATAGGGGAGGGAAACGGGGGAGGCCACATACAGGAGAGAGCAAGCAGTGGGTGTATAGAGAGAAAGGGGCGGAGTGGGTGGGAGTGGATGTGTGAGAAGTGGGCATGGTTTGAGGAGGTGCATGCAGGGGGTGGGGGCGCGAAGTGAGAGAGCGAGATGGACATACGGGAGGAGAGGGCAGCGAGAGCAGCGAGCAGAGCCGCGTCAAAGAGAGCAGCATCAGCATCAATGCAGACTATGTCCTGGCGGGAAGGAGGAAGGGCAGGGAAAGAGCAGCAGAGTGTGGGAATGAGCCAGTGAGGGAGTGATGCAGGCGCGGAGACCGGGGCGAGGGGGTTGCGGAGGGGAGAGGATGGAGGGGGCAAGTGAGAGCAGCTAGGACGAAGGAAAGAAGTGGAGTGCAGGGAACAGACGGAATACAGCCGTGCGATTCAGTCACGGCATGCATGTGCGTGCATGTGCGTGCATGTGCGCAGCACGCACCAGCCAGATGGCCCATGCTGCCTTCCCCGGCACGATGCAGAGATGGGTGAGATCCACACACGCCGTACTTGATGAGGTGGCAGGGGACGCGGGTGGGAGGGAGGGAAGGAGGGAAGGAGGGAAGGAGGGGGCAAGGAGTTGGAGCAGGGGAGAGGGGGGGCAGGATGGGGGAGGGGACACAGGTTCGATGGGTGACAGCTGATATTGAAAGAGAGCGGTGTGGTGTTGTCGATAGAAGAGTGCAGGGGAGTGCATAGGAGTGCGTGAGAATGCCGGAGAGAGCATGGAGGCAGTTCACGAGGAGCATGGGAGGCGGGAGGGAGGGCGGTACCTGGTGAGCACGGAGGTGAGGTGGTGCGAGATGGTGTGCGCCATGTCAGGGGGGCGACCAGGCCGCACCTCGGGCGAGCAGATGGGCGGCAGATCGCACGACACCACTGGGCGAGGGGAGGGGAGTGGGGGAGGGTGAAGGAGATGGATGGGGGAAGGGGGAGGGGGAGAGAGTGAGTGTGAGAGAGAGAGGGTACGAGGGCAATACGTGGGATTCATGGGGCATCATGACACGCAAAAGGTTGTATGTTTTTCTTGCACCAAGCCAGCCACCTTAACCCACCGCCCCACCAACCTCCACCGCCCCCCTTCCTTCCAGCTTCGGCCAGCCAGCTCCCCACGCCCTCCCCCAAGCTCCCAGTCACTACCCTCGCATTCTCCAGCTCGCAAACTCTCTGGATCCCCCCCTCGCATGTTCCCTCTGCTCCTGCTCTCACCTCTCCGGCCCTCCTCCCCCCCCTCTTCCTCTGTTTCCTCCTAAGCCCCTCTTCCCCTCTCAACCCTCCCTCACCACCACTCCCCCAAAACCTCCTCCCCATCTTCCTGCCCATCCCTCCCTCTCCCCCCACTCCTCGTCTCCTCCCCCCCCCCCTCCGCCCCGCCTGCCCTCCCCCTCCCCCAGCGCACGTACGTAGCGCTCCCGCAGTGGGTTGATCCTCTGAGGGCACCATCACCTCCACCTTAATCGCCGCTACCATCGCCTAGCAGGGGTTTGGCGTGGGGAGAGGGGCAGCGGGGCGAGGGGGGGAGGGTTCATGTACAAAGGAGGAAGCATGAGTCTACGGTAGACATCCGTGCAAGCATGTGTGCACGGTAGAGAGGTGTGCTGCACCCATGTATGCTTGTATCCAAGTGTGCTTGTACCCGTATGTGCACTCACTGTGTCTCCTAGCTTCACGAGAGCCGATGCATCCGCATTCGTTACAGTGCCTGCGCGGATAGGAACGGTAATCAGCAGAAACGGCCCGAATTAGCAGCGGAACGAGCGGATCGAAAACCCCGTCAGAATACATACCCCCGAAAAAACATCGGCTGTAGCGCTCAGCTGGTCAAATACCCAGAACCCTGACTCCGAGCCCCCAACCCTAACTCTGAACCATCCACGCACCCAGACCAATGCTGACGCCACGAGCTTGCCCGATGGGGCGGCCGTCGGGTCGCATGCCCTCCGCGAGGAACGGCGCCCAGAAGGCCTCGGGGTACAGCCGCCTTAGCGCGTCGGCATCTAGGAGATCCATGCGCGAACACGCTGATTGGCTGGCTTGCTCTTCTGCTGTGATTGGTAGATCCGCTGCGGCGAACGGCGGGTGGCAGCACAGTGGCGGAAACGCGCGCGATGACAGTACAGCGATTTAGTGCGATTTGGCAGGAACGCAACTACGTAGTTAGTGCTCAGGGTTTGCGCCACGCGACAATTGTCGAGCAAGGACGAACAAATGCGACCCGTTATTGAGCAGCTGGCTTGGGGTAACCGATCACGTTCCCCATGAGCATCCTCTTCAACCAAAAGGAATGGATGCATCTGTTGTAGCTCATTTTGGATCGCAGTGAAATGAATCCTCAATTGGATTTGAGCTTCGATCTCCTTGTAATTAAATCGGGAATGTGTCATTTTTAAAATAAATCTGCAAATGTATGCAAGAAACACGAATTCCAAATGCATGGTTTTGCTGTTTAGAGAAACGTGAAACAAATAAAAAGATTCAGAGAATTCAATTATATCACATGAACTTAGAAATCCCCGATTATTGAGTAGACACACCAATGCCATCGATATGAGTCGTGATAAAGACAGATTGCAATGTAAAGGGTTTGTAGAAAGAATGCTCGAAATGCAAAAATACGCAATACTGTACAACAAGCAATGGGATCGGGAACAGGAGGCGTTTCGCCAGCGGAGATTGCTTGTCCGGGGGAGTGGGCTCCAGTTTGGGAGAATGACAGAGCACGCAACGGCGTATCAAGGACCATCACCCGCCAATCCCTTGGTACTCTCACGTATCGTTTCGTTTCGAGGTCTGCGGGCCGAGTGTAGCAGCGGAAAGGAGCAAGGGCAGGGGAGGGGAGGGAGGGGGCGGTTGTGGGGGAGCGAGGAGGAAGCCCGAGGCCAAAGCCATTGGGGTTGTCGAGTAGCAGACCAAGAATGCCGTTCTGCTGCTAGGGCACGAGTGGCACGCCACCCATCAGTGATCCCTTGCTTGAGTAATTCCAGGTTGGAAATCACTACAGCATGAATTGGTTGGGTTGGGAGTGCTCAGTGACTGCTTTGATTTGGTTCTTTCCCACTTCAGCGTTGGCACATTAGTTCGACCCATTAGCTATCGATTTTGGTTAACGGAAGGCACACATTGCTTGCGGTCCTCGTTACCCGAGATATGGTGCGAGCGGGTACTTTCTGGGTCTATTTCAGGCGATGACGGCGTTGCACGCTTGCGCATCTCCTTGCGCTCCTCGGAAATGACAGCCAGGCTCTCACTTCCACCATCTTCTCCCCAACCAACTTACCTGCTTTCTCGCAACATCGGTCATTCGCGCATGCAACCTGATCATTTCACTCAGCCGCTGGGCTCCTTAATTCACGTATCGTATTTCTTCCTGACGAAGACGTCTCACACAAGTCAAGCTTAGGTGATTTTCGCTCCTAGTTATCGACTTCAGGAGCCGGCCTTTTCTTGACTCGCACTTGACCTAAGGAGGTAAATCTCAACATACCGACACGCCATTCGTCTACCGTGACCTTACACTCCGTAACTCTATGTAACCCTAATTAGTCTATCGGCTCCAATCGTCCATTCCCATCTTCTACAAAGGCAACCCACGGCAGGTAGTTTCCACCTTCCCTGTATTTCCGCTATGCCGCGCCTAGAGGACGTTAAGATACCTGCGAAGCTGCAAGCGCTGCTGGAAAAGGCCCCTCCGCCCGCGCCAGCCGCGCCGATCGGCAGCGGGCTGCTAGGCATCGGCGGCTTCAGCTTCGGCGGAAACGGCGGAGGTTCCGCAGCTGCCGCGGGAGCAGGAGGCGGAATCGGAGGCGGAGTCACCCTTCCCCCGCGCCTCCCCGTGCACCAGCTGGGGGGAGCCAAGAACCGAATCAACCTGCAGGTGCATCAGGATCAGCAGTCGTTCTCGCGTGCGACGTCGCAACCTTCGCCGAAGTCGTCGTCTGTGACAACTCCTGCGAGCCAGGAGAAGCAGCGGCTACCGGTAGGGCCGCCGTCCGTGCTTCAGCAGCAGCATCTGCGGCCGCCTCCGGGCCTAGCAACGGCGGTGGTTGCGGGTGTGGGTAGAGACAGCAAGGACGGCAGGAGCGCCCCCCGCGACGACGATAATGACTCCGAAACCGGCAGCGTTATCTTCTCCCCGGTTCCGCAACCCATGCACTTGAAGAAAGCCTCCGGGCGGAAGAAGAAGGGCGCGGATGTTGGCGCAGCTGCGGGTGTTGGGGCAGGAGGAGCGGGGACCGGGGGAGCGGGAGGAGCGGGGGGAGCGGGGGGAGCGGGTTCGGGAGCGGGCGGCGGTAGTAGGGAGGGTGGGTCGAACAACAGCACAGGTCCTTTCCATGGTAGCAGCAGCAACCAAACTTCCCCCACTTTGTCGTCCCCTTCTAACGCGCTCTCTCCCCCCGGGCCTGGCGCCACCTCTCTCGCCTCCAGCGCCTCTTCCTCCGCCTCCACCTTCTCCTCCGCCTCCGCCTCCGCGCTCTCCTCCTCCGCCACCTCTGGCGGCGCTGACGCGGCGCCGTCGCACAGCCAATCGGGGCGCGGCAGGCAGAACAGCGTGTCGGGCAAGGGGGAGGAGCAGGGGAAGGGGGGAGCGCCGCCCCAGTCCCCCAACCGCCATCCTCCCCGGCCCTCTCCACCCAAGCAGCCGCTACAGCAGCAGCAGCCGCAACAGCAGCAGCAACAGCAGCAGCTGGAGCGATTTCAAAGGGCTAAGTTGAGACAACAGCAGCAGCAGCAACAGCAGCAGCCGCAACAGCCGCAGGCTGGGTTACCTTGGCTCAGTCGTGCTGGAAGTGATGGCGGTGGGGGTGGGGGCGAGTATGAGGACGAGGAGGAGGAGGAGGAGGAGGGGGATGAGGATGGTGAGACGGTCGAGGTGGTGAGGCGGGCGTGCACACTGCCCAACTCAGCGCAGGAGAGTGGGGGGATACTGCACGCACTCACCATTGCGCTGCAGGCCGTGCAGGAGAGAGCAGGGCAGGAGAGAGCAGGGCAGGTGAGAGTAAAGGCATGTGTGCCTGGAGGTCCCGTCAACCAGTTCCGATCCGCACCTCCGCTTACCCCAACCTACTGTCTTTCCGTCACCTTTCTTCTCCTCCCCTCCCCGTTGACCTCATCTCTGTCTAATCTTCCCCTTTCCCTCCATCCAACCCCCCCTCCTTTAAACGCACCTTCCCCTCCCCCCCCCCCCCCCCCCCGCTCTTTCCCCTCCCCCCTGCACAGGACGAGCAGCAGTACGATCCGTCCAACCCCTGCTCCCCCTACACGCCCTTGCGCCCCGCCCCTCCTCTCCGGAGCTCTAGCACGGGCAGTGCGGCTGCGCGCGCCCACCTGGCCTCCTCGTCCTCCTCCTCGGCCACTGGGGGGCGGGGGGCTGGCAGCGGTGCAGCTGCTGCTGTAGGGAGAGCCGGCTCATCGTTTCCTTTCTCCTCCTCCGGCAACTCATACGGGGGGGGAGCAGGAGGAGCAGGAGGAGCATCAGGGGGACTAGGGACACCAGGGGCAGGGGCGGGTGGCAGTGGCAAGTACAGCCGTGTGAAAAAATTCAGTGCAGGGGGCACAGGAGGAGCAGGCACAATGGGCAGCGGCGGATCAGCAGGTTCAGTGGTGGGAGCAGCGGGGTGGGAGAGCAGTGACGGCGGTGTGGGATGGAATGACGGGTCCCCGTTAGGGGAGGTGCCTATGCGGCGCACGATGAGCAGCCCACTGAAGAGGGAGTCGTCCATGTCGTCGTGCGATGCCGCCAGTGTGGTGGGGAGCGTGTGTGGCAGCGTGGTGAGCAGCAGCGGCGGCAGGAGCAGGAGTGGAAAGGGCAAGGACGAGAAGCTCGCAGGGCTGCCCATGCTGCCGCCTCCGCACGTCACCCAGATCGTCAAGGTGCGCTGGCAGTGCCGCTGCCCCAGGGGATTGGAAGGTCTGCGCCTGCACTGGGCGTGTGTCCATGGGGGGGTTGTCGTCTCCACCAACACTGAATTTGTTTGAGTGGATGTGGGAGTTAGAGACTGTGCGAGTTGATTGCTGGTTTCTCAATCCGGGGCTGTCTGTCCTTCCTCCCTCCGCTCTCCACTCATCCCCTCCCTCCCTGCACGCCGCACCTACCTGTCACGCCTATGTTTAATGCCGCCTCTTTACCCCGTTCCTCCCACTCCCAGTGCACGTGGTGCGGGCAGAACCTGTCTCTACCAAAGAAGCTGCCGGTGCCCAAGAGCGGAGTGCAGAAGCTGCGGTGCGGCAAGTGCCTCAAGGTCTGCAAGTACCTGCCCTACCACCCGCCTGCTCCTGCCTCCCCCCCGCCATCCGACCCCGCCCTGCCCTCCCTCCCCACCTCCTCCCCTCTCTCCATCGCCAACTCCTCCCCCTCCATCCCCCCTTCCTCTGCCTCTTGCACTCTCGCGTCGGGTCCAGGGGCAGGGATGGGCGGTGGGGTGGGCAGGCAGGGGGGCGCGTATGGTGTGAGCGGGAATGGGTATGGGTATGGGGGGGAGGAGGAAGGGCGGTGGGGGACGAACGCGGGTGGGGGAGAGGGCTGGGAAGCAGGAGGAGGGGTTGAGGCAGGAGGTATGGCGTATGGTGATGAAGGTGGGTATGGGGAGGATGGTAGCCCGTATGGGTATGGGGCAGGCAATGGGTATGGAGGAGGGGAAGGGTATGGCGGGCGTGAGGGGGGAACAGGAGCAGGGGATTGGGAGGATGAGGATGGGGAGGCGGATTTCGGTTTTGAGGACCCGTGCCCTCCTGGGAACGCAGGGATGGCGTACGGCCAGCAGCACGGACAGTGGCAACAGCAGCAGCAGCAGCAGCAGCAGCAGCAGGTGGGAGGGGCAGGCAGAGGTGGCCGCAAGGGAAGCACAAACTTTCAGAGGGTTCAAAGCGCAGGGGGGAGGGTGCAGGAGGTGGGAGGAGCGGCGGGGATGGCTGCAAATATGGGTGAGCGGCAGTTTGTGCGCGCAGGCAGCAGTGCCGCCAGCTACCAAGGGAACTTTCACCCTGCCTCGGGTAGTACTGGGGGGGGTGTATATGGCGAGGAGTATGAGGAGGAATACGAGGAAGGGATTCAAGATGAGTATGGAGGGGGGTATGGCGGGATGGAGGGGCAAGCTGCGGAGGAGGAGGAGGGCGAGGAAGCAGACCTGTATGGGGACATGTATGGCGATCTGGAGACCGAGTTAGAAGCAGCAGCAATGGCGGATGCAGCTGGTGGTGCGGCAAGCCTGTCCCCGTCTCCCTGTGCCACTGCCAGAGCCGTGCAGGGGAAACCTAGAGGAGCCGGGCGAGCATCAGCGTGTGGTACTCCGTCTGCTGCTGCTGCTGCTGCCTCTGCAGCTGGTGCTGCTGGTGGTGGTAATATGAGGGGCAAGGGCCAGGGCGGTGAGGGCAAGCGCATGGCTCGGTGCATGACAATGGTGGTGCCTTCTACTGCCGCCACCATCCCTGCTGCTGCTACCGCCACCACTCCTGGTCCTGGGGGGGCCAGGCGCAAGGGCCCCAAGCACTCGCGCAGTGGAAGCGGCAGCAGCAGCAGCGGTGCGGGGATAGTGGGGGGCAGTGGTCATTTCAAGTACCAGGTGCACAACAGCCCCCCTGGGGGGAACAACAGTGGCAGCAGCAACAACGGGGAGAGCCCTCCCAGCGGCTTCTATGGCCAGGGTGGTGCTGGTGGTGCAAGTGGTGGTGGTATGACGAGGGCGCGCTCGTCGTTGGACTTGGAGGGCAGAGGCAGGGCCTTCCCGTCGTCTGCGTCGTCTGCTGTGTGCGCCGTGTCGCCCCCTCGCCCCACCAGCAGAGGCGCCTCCTCACTCATCTCCATGCCCGTCTCAGCCACCATCGCAGCCATAGGTCCTGGTTCTGGTTCTGGCGCCTCACTCGGTGGTGCTGCCGCTGGTGCGTTTCCCCTGTCGTTGTCTGTCCCTGCCGCCCCTGCGTCTGCATCGCTGCTGGCGTCCACGCATCCAGGCCATGGCAGAGTGACCGCCAGGAGCAGCACCACAGCGGCACATGCAGCAGCAGCAGCAGGAGGAGCGGGAGCAGCAGCAGGAGGGGCGTATCAGCAGCACGAGCCCTGGGGCCAAGCCAGGCCGCCTCCCAACGGGGTTGTCACTGCTGCTGCTGCTGGCGCTGCAGGGAAGGGTGCCGCTGGTGGTGCTGCTGCTGTTGGTGGTGGCAGGGGTGGGAAGGGAGGAGCAGGGAGCAGCAGTCGGGGCAATTCGAGCAGTGGGGTGCGGAACGGGCAGGGAGGGGCAGTGGGAGGGAGCAGGGGGGAGGAGGCGTACAGCCGGGGTGTGGTGGTGAATGGGGTGGCCATCTCCGATGCGCACGTGCACGAGGCAGAGGCCATGGCAGGCCCCATACACCCAGGCTCCTACTGGTGCGCGCTCGCCTCCTCCCGCTCACATTTTGATTGCGGATGCTGATTCCCAAGCTGTCCCTGCTCCTTCACGCATGCATTTAGATCTCCCCTGCCGAGCCTCTCTTGGCTTATGCTCTGTTGTGCCCTCCTTATGTCGTGTGTGTGTGTGTGCATGTGCCTTCCATATGCTTTCAGGTATGATGCTTACGCTGGCTTCTGGGGCATCATGGGGGGCCCATGCCTTGGAGTCATCCCGGTATGCCATGTGCCCTGCTCCACCTTTTTTCTGTGCGTCGCCCATGTTATGCAGCCCGTATTCCGTCCCTTTCCCGTGCCTCATGGTTGTGCATAGTTCGCTTGACTCACACGGCATGCTTCTCACAAACTCACCTCTCCACTCACCTCCCTGCCTACTCTGCCATCCTCTCGCTGCCCCGGCCTTCCCAGGCGAGCATATGGGCGGTGGCGCAAGCGCCCATGCCACAGGACTGCTGTGGGGGCAGCACGGGCATGGTGGTGAATGGGCGCGAGCTGACCCCGCGGGACCTGTCGATTCTCAAGGGGCGGGGGCTGCCCATGGTGCCAGGCTTCTACTCGCTCACCATCGATGGCGAGCTGCACGACGAGTCCACCGGCCGCCACATCAAGTCGCTCGGGAAACTCGCACCCTCGTAAGTGCTCATGCTGCTGCTCCACGGAATTTAGGAGTGTTCGTGCAGCCTCTAGACAGACACACCTCTGGTCAGACGTTGCTCGCACGGAATTGAACTGCGTTGCACGATTAACTGTCGCATCGCACAGCACGCACACGCCTGACTGCAGTCCAATATGACTTGAAGCTATGATTGCTGTGCTGTCTTTATGTTCCTGTTGCCCTTGCTGTGACTCTAACTGCCTCTTTTCTTCCTCCGCACTTCCTGACTTGGCTGCACTGCTTGCTATGGCAGATTGGAGAGGCAACAACGAGGTGCGGGTATGTACGTGCCGGGATAGTTCGATAATAAGTCTGGCGGGGAAACTGTAATTGCGCTGTGATCTGGCAGAGAATGTCTGCATAAGCCATGCTGTTACATTGTCAAGTTAAAGCCATAAGCAATGCTAGAGCGCTATTTTTTTCTTTTTTTGTAAGGAATCATATCATATGTGCTCTTTCGTGGAACTCAAGCAGAGTGTATACTGTATACGATCACAAGCGAGGAGAAGCTGACCAGCCGACCACCCTACTGCGGACAAGCCAATGCACAATGTTGGACGGCTTCTCTACCCTTCCCCAACTTGCCTTGTGTTTTGCCTGTGGCAAGATTTTTGTGGGATGGAGGCTGACAACCGCTGGTTTTTTTTCCCGCCATTCTCCTCCCCCCCACCCTGCGACCATGTCCGCCACCCCCTGCTGTACTGCGCCGTCGCGCTTCAGCGCGCCCCTCGCGGGCGTTGCGGCGAGTCGATGTTCGTCCGGGCGGAATGTGCGGCCTGGCGATGCCGCCGCGCCGGTGCGATCTGCCGCTATTGCCACTCGCGCGTGCTGCAGCCGAATTGAGGCCAATTCGTCGCCGCTTTCCCAGCGCGGGGCGGGCCTTAGAAGCAGCGTGTGGGGCGACGAGCAGGTGAGGGGACAGCGGAGCAGTGGCGCGGCGCGGCACTGCATGCTGCACACACCTTGCCGGCGCGGATTGGTATAGCGCTCCCGCACGACCGCTGAAGCTGCCATGCTCCTCCCTCCCTTCACTCCAGAAACCCCTCCGCCCAATTCTCACTAACCCCCTCCTTCCGACCCCCCCTTGTGGCCTGCGCTTGCCGTTGGCATAGTTCTTGAATCGACTTTCCCCGTCCTCCCCCCCCCACCAGACACGGACTGAAATTTTCCGCCCTCCGCCGCTCTCCAATTCGCGCCGCCGCACCGCCGCTGTGAGAGCCACCGCTGAGCCCTCCACAACCGCCGCTGCGCCGACCGCCGCGGAAGGCGGCGCGGATCCCGCGCCGATTCCGCTGCTAGCGCCATACCAGATGGGCGCGTTCGCCCTCGCGCACCGCGTGGTGCTCGCGCCGCTGACGCGCTGCCGCGCGCTGAACAACGTGGCGCAACCCGCCGCGGCGACGTACTACGCGCAGCGCGCGACGGCGGGGCAGCTGCTGATCGCGGAAGCCACTGCCGTGGGGGCGACCGCGCACGGGTGCGGACCTTGTGGGGGAATGGCGGGATGGGGATGGGGGTGGGGGAGAAGGGGACGGGCGGGAAGGGGAGGCGAGAGGTATGACACGCGAAATGTGAGACGCAGGAGTGGAGAGAGGAAGCCAAGGGCGAGTGGGAAATGGGCGGAGGCGCCTCTTCCTCTCTGCCCTCCTGCTCTCTCCCCCCACTTTCCCTGTGCTGCCCTACCCCACACACACGCTCCCACCTTGTGTCATCCCTCGCCACCACATTGCACACCGTGCCTCCGTGCTCTGTGAGTGCAGGTACCCAAACATGCCGGGGCTGTACACGTGCGAGCAGGTGGAGGCGTGGAAGCCCGTGGTGCAGGCCGTGAAGGCCAAGGGCGGCATCTTCTTCTGCCAGCTCTGGCACGCCGGCAGGGCCTCGCACCCAGGTCAGTGCAGCTTTGGGGTGGGAGCCATGAGGGACAGGGACATACGAGTCTTTCGCACAGCAAAACGGTTTCGGCCATTTTACCACAAGCCATATTTGAGGAGCCCCCCGTCCCTCCACTCTCCATCCCACTCTGTTCCCCAGACTACCAGCCCGGTGGAGCACTCCCACTGGCTCCGTCCGCAGTGCCAATCACGGACCAGCAGGTGTATACGGGCAGCGGGATGCAGGACTACCCCACGCCGCGGCCGATGACCGAGGCGGACATCAAGACCGTCATCGCTGAGTTCCGGGTGGCGGCGCGCGGCGCCATGGAGGCGGGGTTTGACGGTGTGGAGATCCATGGCGGCAATGGGTACCTGGTGGAGCAGTTCCTCAAGGACGGCATCAACCGCCGCTCCGACCAGTACGGCGGCACCATCGCCAACCGAGTGCGCTTTTTGGAGGAGCTCGTGGCAGCCGTGGGGGAAGAGGTGGGCCCGGAGCGGCTGGGCGTGCGGCTGTCGCCGTACTCTGCGTTCCTGTCTGCGTCGGACTCGGACCCGCGCGCCCTGTACGTGCATGCGGTGCAGCGGCTGGACGCCATGGGCGTGCTGTACGTGCATCTCATCGAGCCCCGCATGTGCAACTTCGACGAGCTCCCGGGCGTCACCGAGGTGAGCAATGGTGCTTCATGTGGAGCTGCTGGGAGGAAAGAGGGCGAAGGGGGGAAGGGTGGAGGATGGGAAGCGTGGGGCAAATCGTGGTGTGCGTTTGTGTGTAAAGGCCTGCCTCCCTGGGGCACCGAGCGTCCCTTGCCTCACAAGCTGTGCCTGTTTTATGCTATGCATGCTGTGCCATCCCATCCTTCCCTGTCCTGCCCCTCCCTTCCCTTCCCTGCCATGCCCCCCCATGCCCCATGGCAGACACTGGAGCCATTCCGTGGAGCCTTTAGCAGGACCGTCATTGCAGCAGGCGGGTACACGGTGAGCCACCCTGCATGCCCTGCTGCCTGTGGTGCGGGACACATGGCACCATGCTGTCAGCAAGCGCCACATGCCCTCATGTCGCCATGTTTCATCTGCTCAACCGTGGGTCACCCTGCTCGGTGCTCTCTATCTCATTATAACGGATTCTATTGTATCACTCGACTGTTGTGTGGCAAAAGCCATATTGCCTCTGAACCGCTCCCTCATGCATGTTATCCAATAGCCCATCCCCACCTGCTCTACTCCTTCTCTCTCCTCCACCCCTTCGTTCCTGTATGCATGCGGGACTCCCGCGCCACCTTTTTTCCCTCCCCTGCATGTCCCAGCGGGAGCGTGGCAGTGAGGCCATTGCCACATGTGCAGCCGACCTGGTGGCGTTCGGCCGCCTCTTCATTGCCAACCCCGACCTGCCGCGCCGCTTCCTGCTCAACGCCCCGCTCAATGCGTATGACCGCAACACCTTCTACGTGTCAGACCAGGTGCATGGCTACACCGACTACCCGTTCCTTGACAGCTAAGCGCTGGAGGACAAGTCTTTGTGTTTGCTGGGAATCACGTGCAACGAAAGTGTGCTACGTGTTTCCCTGACGCTACCTCTCTGGAATTTGCAAGGAGACATGCATATTCTGCCTGGCTGGTATGGTATATCGTTTCGTATGGCTGTCCGGACACACACCCACTCGCTAGTTGGAAGCAATTGGACAAGTAATGCCATAATACCTAGTATCATTCCCAGTTATTCAGTGTACAGATATGGCTCACGTGAGCCAATTTTATTTGAGGTCTTCTACAGCTAGTCATTGCTCATGACACATAAGCTACTAGGAGGTGCTAGTTCCCATTGCATAAATACGGTACAATGTTATCATCATTATAAGTTTCTTATGTACTGGAACGTGCAGTACGAACACACCTATCCGTGGCAGCTGCCCAGCACGCAGTAAACGCGCTCCTGATTCATGCTGGCGCGTGCTTTGGCCATGTTTCCCACGCTGGTTCCTCCTTGGATAACCTCGCTAGCTAGACTGGATGTCGGTGGCAGGTGTCCAGCCAAGGCAAGCCGTCGCTTTCCAGCGTGACATTGAAGCTTGTCTGGGCAGCTCAAGCAATGCAAGATGATGTCACGTTGTGCAATCGTTGACTTCCGTTTCACGTGCAAGCTTCTTCCGCTGCCAGATGACCATCATCTCGCCTCTGAATCTGCCCCAAGCCTGATCTTCTTGTGCTGGTTCTGCCCGTGTCACGTGTGTTCACTTGCAGCGTCAAGAAGAAGAGAAGGGTTTGCCGACCAAACATCCGAGGGGTTTCTTTGAGTTTCATTTGCAAGTGAGTGTACGATTTTCCAAACGGCTTTTTGCGCCGTGGGCTACAAAAAGGCGCCAGATTATGTTCCGTGTTTGAGAGAAGCAATCGCATTCTGCATACCCCGTCAATGAGCATCAGATCAGCCAATTACAACCGCGCTGACCCTCAATGATATAGTTAGTTGAGATCTCTGATCAATATATGGCACGGTTTCACAACCACCCTAATGCACACCGGGAAACCCGAATCTCATACCAGCCCGTGGTGCTCCTGCTCACTCCCGCACTCAACACATCTTACCACGGCACGCTTCCAACAAGGCATTGTCTTCAGAAGTTAAGGAGCTCACGTCACATATCCCTCAACTGCATTCATCGCCATTTCCCGTTTCATTCCGCGCTCCAGCCTTCAGCACTCAGCGCTGACGAGCTCTGCCTTCGCCCTTGCTTTCGGGCTTGCGTCTTTTTCCCGGCCTTTCCCACTTCTGCCTGCAGCTGCTACGTACCAAGCACCTTGCGTGATATGCGTCCGTCTTCGCGTAATCTCTCCGCTCATTTATTTGTGGCAGGCGCGCGGATAGTTCATCTCCAAATTGGTCATGCCGTCGTTCCTCATCGCGTGTTGAAGCATCTTCGGCCGTCGCTCGACTTCCGCGACTGACATCGATTCCAGTCTTGCCTCGCTCCCACGCCTCATCCTATTCAACCCCCCTTGGATTCCTACAGCGCGTTCGGTGCTGATTTTTTCGCCATGGCTCCTACGCCAGCCGACATCTCGTCTGCTGTTTCCACTGCAGCGGCCGCCCTTGGTAACAGCGCGGAGCGGCGCCACCACGATGCCGCTACCGGAGGACCCGCCGGAGAGAACACATCGATTCGCGACGCCCTGGTGAAACCGGAGGAGCCACGTACTATTCCCGCGACTGTCCCCGACACGCTACCAGCCACACCAACTGCACGTACTGCTCCTTCGGATGACGTCAGCGTCTCCATCGGTGATGCTGAAGCCACGGGGGACGCGGTAGTCGCCCCTCCTGCTGGTGGCGCGGCGGACCACGAGGAGCGCGCGGATTCAGCTGAGGCACGTGGCGAGGATAGCGGAAGCAAGAAGCATGGCAGCGGTAGAAGCAGGCCGTCTAGCGCGCATGGCGGCGACCGCGAGGGCAGCTTCAAGCGAAGGATTTTCGGGAGCTTCAGCAGCACGGCGAGCAGCGACAACTGCAACCTCGACGCCGAAAACGGCGGACGAAACGGGCATGCGCCTCCGCAGGAGCTGAAAATGGGCCACTCGCACTACTCGCATCGCTCTCCTTGGCTGCGCGCCGCTCTGCTGGGCGCGAATGACGGGCTCGTGTCCACGGCGTCGCTCATGATCGGTGTGGGTGCCGTGGAGGAAGATAAGAGCGCCATGGTGATATCCGGGCTGTCTGGGCTCGTGGCGGGCGCGTGCAGCATGGCCATCGGCGAGTACATCTCCGTGTTCGGGCAGCGCGACACGGAGGAGGCGGACCTGCGCAAGGAGCGGGCGGAGTTCGCCAAGGGACCGCAGGCGTGCGAGCGGGAGCTGGAGGAGCTGACTCTCATCTACGTGGAGCGCGGGCTGTCGTACGAACTGGCGCGCACTGTGGCCGTCGAGCTGCACAAAGGCGACCCAATCAGAGCGCATGCCAGGGACGAGCTCGGGATCGACTTGGATGCTCTGTCGAACCCCGGCCAGGTACTGCCGCTTGTTTGCTGTGAGCCTAGCTGCTCGACCCCTCCTGTCGCTTCCTTGCGGCCTCATACAGTCGTGTCATGCCCCACCAAGCTCTTGGTGTCGTGCCACCTTTGCTCTTTCTTCCTCTCTTGTTTTCACTGCATCCATACAATTAATTATTATTTATTATCTCATCCCCTTTCCATCGTGCCACCTTTGCTCTTTCGTCCTCGCTTGTTTTTCCTGCATCCATACTATTAATTATGATTAATTTTCTCATCTCATCCCCTTTCCATCTCATCCCCTTTCCATCTCATCCCTTTCCATCTCCCTTCCCTTGCCTCTCATATTCATGACCTGAGTAGGCGGCTATTGTGTCGGCCATAGCGTTCACGATTGGCGGCCTGATTCCTCTGCTCTCTGGGGCGTTCATCTCCCATTTCCCCACGCGCCTTACTGTCATGATCTTTGTCTCCACCTTCACCTTCTTAGTGTTTGGAGCTATTGGGGCATGGCTGGGTGGCGCAAGAAAGTTCCGTGCTGCCTTGCGTACCACAATTGGAGGCTGGCTGGCCATGGGCGTCACTTATGCAGTGCTCAAGATCTTTGGGACAACAGGGGTTTAAGGAAATCCACTATTCAAGCTCTCCATACATTAGTTTGAGTGCCGTTGTATTTTCTAGAACTCTTATTTGAGCTTTTGTAATGTTTGTGTCCATAGCATTCCTACAAGTACATCTTTACACAAATGCATCCCATTCTTCTCAAAGAATCTGGTGAATTGCCGGTACTAACTTGTAGAGATTCTGTGGTAGAATGGCCTGCAATGAACGAAAACCATTGTGATGCAGCCATAACCATTTCGTGGGTAGTATTACACATTTTGAGGTTATTTGTGCTGATAGCCGTGTTTATAAGCTAATCCTAGACGGAATGTTCGATGGTGCAAGTCTCTTTATTTAATTCGCCTGCCGGCTTGGGAAACCTGTTATCCGATTTCGCAAGTACGTCGTTGAGACTTCGCCAACAATTCGCCTGTTTCTGAACGATTGATTTGACATGAAATCAAGCCACTGCTCGCCACTGTCGGATGGCCGAATTGCGCTTCGGACCAGGCCAGTCTACAGAGGGCGCAAGCTGGCCCCATACACAGCCCATAACATTTCTATGGCGAGCCGCTGCTCTGCCTTCCGCCTCGCGGCTTGAGGTGTCGCATTTTCCCATCCCCCCACCCCCCTACAGCTGTGGCTTGACAAACGTCCTGCCCGGCGAACCTGTGCGACAAGAATTCGCCGATGCGGGCGATTCGGAATCGCATGGTTCCACCTTCCAACACACTTCACCCAATCGCCCACCGAGGGACGAACATCACTGTGCGAATTTCAGCAGCATTGTCTCTCATCTACCCACACCTGTTCGCGTGCGGTCGCCGGTCACCGGCCCTGGTGGTGCTTCAGTACAGTACAGAATCTCCCCAGAACTCACGGCGGCGGGAGCAGGCGGAATTATCCCGCTGCACCACCAAGTGTTTTTGGCTGAAGTGGCACCAGTAGCGCTCACTGCCCGCGTGCCCACTCCCCTCCCTCGGCTCAGCTCGGCCCGTTTCGCCCCTACTCGAGCGCACAAGATTCCAGCCCCCAAACAGCCAGGCACATACTCAGACCCCATCCCACAGCTCAAGCCCATCCCACGAAGCAGCAAATAGGTCCTGTCAGAAAGGGTCGTGCATTCGCGCTCCACTCGAAGGCGATAAACATTTCCTCAACCACGGGTCTTTCTTTCTAGTTCTTCAAAGCTCCTCGTCACGTCACCACAATTTCGCTTCCTCTCTCCCCCATCGAGCCCGTCGCCCACAATCTCGCCGTGTAGTGTACACTACTCCTTCCTCGACGTTCTCCGATATCGCCCTTAGAGAATGTGGCTGGCCGACGTCGTTCACACCTCCCGCTGGTTTCCCGCTAGGACTAGCGTCGTGTCCCTTTGATTGATTCCACAGGTACTACAGTCAGCAAGCGCAGAGCAGTCACTCAGAAACTGTGATAGCAAAACTTCTCCCCCCCCCTGCGTAGTACGGCATAGCCGGCCTGAATGGAAGGGGCATCTCGCCGCGATTGGCGGCGCGCGTCTTCCCGCGAGTCGCGTGTGCGAGCAGCCGCCTCGAGGTGGGCCGCTGACCATCAACTCCATGGCACCGTTGCCTCGCAAGTTGCCTCGCCACCACCATCCCAAGTATTCTCATCAGCGTCAGAACCAGCAGCAGCAGCAGCAGCATCGGCATCCCCTCGACAACCTCGCGGGTCCCCGCCGGCGCGATCGCGTCTACGGCTGGGGTCGTCGTGGGCGGCGCTCGTGCTGCTGCTGCTCGTCTGCTCGACATCGCCGCTGGCCCTCGCAGGTGCGCCTTCCGCGTGCTTCTGTAGCAGCTACTCCATTAATGCGCCATGTAAAGCAACGCTGCTAGAGCTGTGTCTTTGACGCTTTTACCGTTAAGTCACTTTTCTTAGACGCCCGTCTTGCCCCTTCTCACCCGCCATGTGCGTTTGTCCCTGCCTCTCTCTCCCTTGCGTCTCCCTCGCCTGATGGCCTGCACACAAGCAGCAGATGGCAGCAGCCCCAGACGAGCCCTCTTGCAGCAACTACCTCCTCGTAAGTCGCCCCCACGCGGTACCTTGTACGCCGCCTTTCCGTGTTCGCTCCTCATCACTCATTCTCGTTGCCGATTATAGTAACGAAGTTGACGTTTTCGCACGCACCCCTCTCACCTACTCAGCACCATCCTCGACATTCCTGCGTCTCCCGCGCTGCACGCTCACCTGCGGCGTATGACATGCCTGGTTGTGCATTGCCGACCCCCTCTGACTCGCCGCTGCATCCCGTGCCTGCGTCCGCGCGCCCCTCGCAGAGTCGGAGATTATCCTGGCGGCGGTGTTGGGGTCGCTGCTCGTGGTCGTGTTCGTCGTCGCCATCGTCCTCGTGTGCTGCTGCTTCTCCTTCGCCAAAGCCACACCTGGTACGACCCGCCACAGCCGCATCCACAACAACATCCCCCCTACCACGGCACCATCATGGTGTGAAATGTAGACCGCATCCCTTCCCGTGCTAATGTATGTTCTCGCTCGTTTCTTGCCTTTGGCTCGCTCCCGCCCCCCGCTCCTTGCACCCTGTGCAGGCAAGGAAGGGCAAGGGAAGAGCACGCAGAAGATCGTGAGCGCGCCCGATGAAGTGGCGGTGCCCACGCTGTGCTTCAACGACGTCCAGGTGGCGACGGACGGCTTCAGCGACGACGCCATCATCGGCGGCGCGGGTCACACCACCGTGTATCGCGGGGAGGGGCCGGACGGGGAGCCGTGGGCCGTGAAGCGCGCCAAGCGCGTGACGGTGTCGGGGTCGCATCTGTTTCGCAACGAGGTGGACTTTTTGTCGCAGATCAAGCACCCCAACATCGTGCCGCTCCTCTACTCCTGCGACGACAACAGCGAGCAGATCCTCGTTTTCGAGTACCTCGCTAACGGCCCGCTCTCCACGTGGCTGCGCCCGCCGCCCGGGGACGAGCGCGCGGCGCTGACGTTCGAGCAGCGCGTGGAGGCGGCGCTGAGCGTGGGCGAGGCGGTGCAGTACCTGCACTCGTTTAGCCGTCCCACCATCATCCACCGCGACGTCAAGTCCGACACCATCCTGCTCGACCACCAACTCAAGGTGCGCTACCCCTGCCTGCCCCTGCCCATGCCTCACTCGCTGTTGAATGCACCTAGCTAACCCCTCTCCAGTCTCCACCCCTCGCCTGCTACTACTTCCCTTGCTTTCTCGTTCCTCCATTCGTTTCGCGAAACACTTTCGCGTTGTAACTCACTGTTCCCTCTCGTTCCCCCCTCTCTGCCGCGTGCAGGTGAAGCTGGGCGGGCTGGGGCTGTTGAAGCACCTACCCGGGGAGGGCATGCGGCTGCGGGTGGCGCGCAAGAAGGGGTACCTGGACCCCGAGTACTTCCAGACCTTCAAAGTCACGCCGCGCTGCGACGTCTATAGGTGCTCCTCCACCCCACGCCCACCCCTCCCTTTCCTTCCTTTTCCTGATGCCACTATAACGTGTTGTCTTAAAGCATGGATCACTGATGCCACGCACTTCCCCTCTCACACGCACACCACTCTGACACCCCCCTTCCCCCTTTCCCCTTCCCCGTTACCCCCCCACTCCCTTCCTCCCTCCGCAGCTTCGGAGTTGTGATGCTGGAAATGCTGACAGCGCTGCCGCCCATAGTGCAGGGCCTGCCGCGCTCCTCCCCCACGGCCGCCGACGCCACTTGTGCAGGGGACGCGCCCTCCCCCTCTCCGCCCATGTCTCTACCCCAGTGGGTGAGTGCCGTGCTTGCTGCTCCACCCCTGCCTCCCACTCTCCCTCCCACCTCCCACAACTCTTCTGTCTCCCATTGCAAGTCAGAAACATTGCCTCTTGTACTCTGCAAATGTATCTCTGAACTGTCTCTTGCGTCCTCTCACGGCCCCCCTCGCTACTTCCGCCCCATCCCCCTCGTCTGCCGCTCACCCTTTCAGGCGTTGCCACTGATTCAGGAGGACCGGGTGGAGGAGCTGGTGGATCCGCGCATGCCCCCCGGGTACCCGCGCGACTCGCTCGTGGCGTTTGCACGCATAGCGGCCGAGTGCGTGGCGCCGCTGCGCAAGGACCGCCCCGACATGCCGCGCGTCACCTTCCTGCTGGCCGAGCTCAAGCGCCCCGCCGCCCTGCGGTCCGTGGCGTTTGCGCGGTTCTACACAGGCGACCACAAGGCCGTGCCCATCCTCCACGCCTCCTGACCGCCCCCGCCCGCCCCCCGCCCACGCTGTGCCATGTGGCCTGCGCCGTGTGCCGTGCCATGACTACCGCCCATTATGCTGTATCCGCATCGCCACGGCTCGGCATCAGTCAAGCCGTCTTGACTGCCGCACTGCACCTTGCACCCCTCGCCGCCACCACCTCCTCCTCTCTTACGTTTCTTGTTGTCATTCACTGTCTCTCATCCATCCTTCTCCCACCCCTCTTCTTCCTCCATCACCTGCCCCTTGCTCTCCCGGGGTCTGCAGCATGCGTAGTGCACACCAACAGCCCACCCTCATCTGCCAGCACTGCTTGCTCTCCACCACACCTGCGCCTGCGCATCCCCCCTCCCCCAGCCCACCAGCCTGGCCAGACTTGCCTGTGACTCCACTACCACCGCCCACCTTCACTGCCTCCCTTGCCCCTCTCCTGTAGCTCATCGCCCAGCCAGTGTGTGGCTGCCACGGACACAGGCCACAAGCAGCAGCAGAGGCAGCATGTATAATGCTGGTGGTGGGTGCACATCCAGCAGCAGAGGTGGCGCTTGCCCGCCCGTTGAGCCTGCTGTGCAGCACCTTGGTCCTTGTGCTCTGCCTGCAAATAAGTGCACCTGTCAGTCAACCATTGCCCCTGTAGTCTGCACTCATTGCTGTCCTTGCTTGCTGCTGCCTTAGTGTTACACCCTGTGTTACATTCTTGTGTGACACTCAACATATATCTTCAATTATCTTCCAATACTTGTCCAAAACAAATGTATGAGGTACTCCCTCCCGACCCAAGTGCATCGGGGGGAAGGGGGGGGGGGGGGGGAAGAAATGCCTTATGCTTGCACACCACACCACTGTGCAATCAGGCGAAGCTGCTCCACACCCTGCACACGAGGGATGTGTGTGCTAAGCTGTGTGCCATGCCGTACGATACAGACGATGCCCAACCTTATCGCAGCTCAACCCAGCGCCCAATCAGAATCGTTTCCCAAAATCCCCAATATACGGGCAATGGGAGATCCGTTTGAATCACCCATGATTGAGTTTGCGACCAACATAAAGCAAGGGACGAGTCACTGCCGACGTGGTTTCGTCACCACAAAACTGTGCACCGCCGTCGCCTCATCGCTTCACAAGAGTCGCACACTGGCAACAAATATCGCCTCACAAGCCCCCCCACAAATACCCACCCATTTCTCCGTGTGCTCGTGCGAAAGCCTCATTTGTCCGTGGCTAGGGCATGCGAAATATTTGAGCGATTGAATCCCCGGCAGGCACCCTCAAATCTTGTGCGACTCTGACGAGCTTCGTCTGTATGCATGCACCCTATGCAGTAGGCCAAGAGGTGCTTGCTTGCACGTGACTGCATGCAAGGCACCCTGAATGGCTTCCATTTCCTCCCAGGCACAGTAGCTGAGGGTGTCCCATACCCAAGCCCTGGCAAGCTATAACCGCCTCCATGTCATGACAAGCTATAACCGCCTCCATGTCCTTCTCAGAGTAGAAATTTGACTAGAATGAGGCATACAGGTTGATCTTGTTAAAGTGGGTGTACCCTCTAAGAGCATGCACCTATCTAGCCTATTATAACATATACAAATATGTTTGACACACCCTCTAGGCCAGATGAGGGGCAGTGCTTGGAAATCGACACACAGCCAGCCCCTCAGATATCAAGATACTTTATCATGAATTCCTGATTTTCAGGATGCTTGTTAGGGGTCAATCCTGAAAATTCAGTTTAAGGTCATTTTCCACCCTGTGAATTCAGTTTTAAGTCATAGTGCAACCCTGAAGTTTCATTATAGTGTTCGTGTGTCAGAAACTAAACTAGGCAGTAGGAAGGAACAAGGCCGCCATGAATGTGGCGGCGGGGTTTAGCTAGGAGCTGGACGAGAGTGTCGAGAGAAAAGGTGATTGATTAGGAAGAGAGGAGTACAAGGAGGGGTTTGTACCCTCTACAGAAAGGTTCAGTAACAACCTACCAAGAAATATATTAAATTATAACTTATATAATTTTAACACACCCCCTAGGCTTGGTAGTGTCAAGCCCACTCACACCCCCACACCCGCACCCACACCCACACCCCCTAGCCCAGCACCCCCATTCCCAGTAGCAGCCGCAACGACTCCAGAAGTGGGCAGCTCCCACGGCCCGTGGGATGGCAATGGCAGCAGCAGCGACATTGACGACAGCGGCGGCGGCGGCGGCGTGCGGCGGCGCCCGGCCCGCGGCAACAGCGGCGGCAGCGGCGGCTTGAACGTCAGAGGCTGGTGCAGCGGCCCCCGCCCTCTCGGCGGCATGTCCAGTCACCTAGGCAGTGGGGAGGGCCCTCATGAGGCAGTCGTCGGCTGCAGCAAGGAAGGGGGGGAAGCAGGGGAAGGAGGGGGAGGAGGGGGGGGGGGGGGAGGAGGGGCGCGGCGTAGTCCATAATCACGCCGGTGGCGGTAGAGCGGGCGGCAGGTCCAGCGGCGCCACTGACGTTGCGCGGCCGGCTGTCGCCCGACGACGCCGCCACGGCAGCCTTACGACGCCGCCACAGCGCGGCGTCGCAGGACGTCGACGCTGCGACGGTATGCACGGCGCCGTCGCAGCAGTGTGGCATCGACGCCACCCGTCACGGCGCGACGGCACGACAGGAACGGGCATGGCCGCCACGGCGGCACGGCAGGAACGACTGACGAATGAGAACGCAGTGGAAGGCACGGAGGGGAGCAGGCCCAGGAAGGGCGTCCCGCTCTGATACCATGTCAGAAACTAAACTAGGCAGTAGGAAGGAACAAGGCCGCCATGAATGTGGCGGCGGGGTTTAGCTAGGAGGTGGACGAGAGTGTCGAGAGAAAAGGTGATTGATTAGGAAGAGAGAGGAGTACAAGGAGGGGTTTGTACCCTCTACATAAAGGTTCAGTAACAACCTACCAAGCCTATATTAAATTATAACTTATATAATTTTAACATCGTGTACCAGCCCTGAGGTGTCAGTATGCTTTCGGGGACAACCCTGATTCATAGAATCTTGCAAATGCACGTGCCCCACGGGCGCATGCTTTGTGTTTTTCCGCCCAAACAAATTTCGGCCAAGTCCTCGATGCTAGAGTCAATCCTCCAACCAGCCCCATGCCACTCTATTTTGGTTAAGTTCTTAATGCTAGAGACAATCCTCGAACGAAACCCCCCCCCCCCCCCTCCCCCCCCCCCATTCTAATTTTTTGGTGAAGTCATCAATGCGTCTCTAGCAACAAAGCAGCCCCACGCTACTCTGTTTTGGCTAAGTCCTTAATGCTAGAGACAATCCTCGAACGAAACCCAACCCCCCCGCCCCCCCCTCCCCCCCTCCCCCCCCCCCCCGCTACTCTAAATTTTCGGTGAAGCCATCAATCCTAGAGACAATCCTCCACGAAACCCCCCTCAACCCGAAAATATCGGCGAGCAAGACATTCCTACCCGTTTTAGCGTAGTCTTCCGCACGCACTGTATTCAAACCCCCCAAAGTCTCAACAGACGATTCAATCTCGTCGACGATCGAACAGCCCAAATTTCTGTTACTTCACTTGAACAGATCTTGGCCATCAAATTCGCAATGCCCAAAATTCCCTGGAGCTCCCAAACATCCAAACTCAAACGGGCCGTCAGAACAGCTCAAGGGCAAATGTTTCACGCTCGCCCACATGCCTTCGACTTTCCTCTAAAAATACAGACGTGGCATTTTTCAACTGAGGGCGTGTCTCAACGCCGACACAAGTCACACTAATTCATGTCAAGACTGCGTTGACGGGCAAATTTGACAAGCGAAATCCCTAATGACACGAAAAAGGCCTGACATCGGTTCACAAAGCAATAGGCCCTGAACAATCAGACTGCCGGAAAAATTCCCAGCCTGATTTGCTGCGTGCGTAGATTTTCGCCAAATTTTAAGCAATAGTGGCTAAGCTAGCGCAAAACATGAAGTGCCGACATCCTGTTAGTATCCTGCTGCTGTGCAATGTAACTTACTACAACATTTCCAACGTTTTTGAATTTATCATGAGGGCACAGTATAAACTGGGGAACCACCCTGAGGATTCAGTATGAATATAGCCAACCAACCCTGAGTGCTACACGGATTTTTTAAGGCCAGCCCTGATTGGTCAGGATGCCCAAAATCCTATCTGAGGCCCTGCACACAGCTCAGGGTGGCACTACTAGTCCAGCCTCTGAGGCAAGGGTCCGAAGACCAGTCAGCAAGAGTACAAGCTAAACACGAGCAACCTAGGGTGGTACTACTAGTCCAGCCATTGGGACAGGAGCCACAAGGCTAGTCAAGAGAATATAAAAGGAGTACACAATCAGGGTCCTAGCAAGTGAGATGCTACAGGAACAGGGCTTCAAATTGGATTTTGAGGGGCTGTTGGTTTAGGGTGCCCCTGGAAGGAGCCCCCATTTTTCAGGGTCGGGTTTTAGAAGTTGCAATTTTTTTCAGGGTAAGATTTTTAGAAGGCTGAAAAATCAAGACTGAAAATTTTCAGAGTTGAGATGATAGGTTGAACCTTGGCAATTTTTTAGGGTGGGTAGGATTTTAACCTAGCACATTATGTTAAACAGGCCATGGACATACACATTCTCACACTACTAGCGTGATTTTGGCCAAGGACCAGTCACGCCCCTCACACCTGCTCCAACTCGTGTCAGACTGCTTGTGTGATTTTGGCGAAGGACCAATCACGCCCCTCACATCTGCTCCAACTCGCGTTACCTGCGTGATTTTGCCTAAGGTCCTGTCACACCCCTCACACCTGCTCCAGCTCGCGTCAAAGTGCCTGTGTGATTTTGGCGAAGGACCAATCATGCCCCACATGTGAACCAGCTTGCGTCACCTGTGTAATGTTGGCGAAGGACAGGTTACGCCCCTCACAGCTGCTCCAGCTTGCCTCGACCAGCCAGATAGGATTCTGTTTCAGGCTGGAAATCCTTTAAGGCTGATAATTTAGGGTGACCAAAACAAGAACATACAATATTTGAGGCCTGCTCAAATGACAACCCCTAAAATTCCGGCCTAGGAAAAATCAAAAACTGAAAAAACAGGACGACCCTAAAAAAAACCCCTGGTATACAACATTTCAGGGCATTTTGTCCTGACTTCTAAAGCCCTGTACAGGAACTAGACCAAGCTGCACATAGTCCCGCTGATGATCTTTTGGCGCAAGCGCCTTCGTAAAGATATCAGCTATGTTGGCACCAGAGGCCAAGTGTACTACGCGGGCCTGGCGGCGTTGCTGAAGCTCGCGCAGGAGGAAGTACCGTAGCTGGATGTGCTTCGCTCTGCCCTCTAGTCGAGGCTCCTGACACCAGAGGATCATGGCCCTGTTGTCAGCGTACATGACTGGGGCAGAGCTAGGCCGCTCACATAAGTCTGTGAGCGAGAAAGTCAGCCAGCGGCTCTGTGCTGCCATGGCACCCACGTAGATCTCAGCCTCGCAGCTGGACTGTGCAACAGACGACGAGCGGGTGGACCTCCAAGAGACCATACCTACACCAAGGCTAAAGTAGTAGCCCTGAGAGGACCTAAGGGTCTCAGCGTTGTCTGCCCAAGGAGCGTCTATGTGCCCAATAAGGACCACTGGCCTGCGTCCTCCCAGTACTAGCCCCATGCCCGATGTACTTGCTAGATAACGCAAAACCCTCTTAGCGGCCGACCAGTGCTGTGGTCGGTGTCTGCCTGTGGCCACAAAGCGAGCCAGGATGTTGAGA